GCAATAGTGGTTGTGGAGAGCCGGAGAGGCACACACCCCCCAGAGCACTGAGTCCAGCGCCGGGAGACCCAAAGCCCCAGGCGCCCAAAGGGACCCCAAGAGCGAAGGCACCAAGGAGGGGCCAGCCCCGGAAATCAGACCCCCACCAAGGGAGGAGGAGAGACAGCCCCGAAGAAGCCCCCCAGCCACCGCCATGCCGGCGCCCCATTCCTAAGCTTTAGGTCTTTATTATGACCCCACCGTGGTCATAATTATCCTACGTTACGTAAAAAAAAACAAAAAAAACTGTAGATTGATGTATTACAAAAAAAATAACGATTTTGCAATATTCATGTTTTAACACAATAGTAAGGAATTCAGTTGTATTTACATCTAACTAAAACATCCCAACATATTAAAAAAAAAATTGTGGTTAATTGTAAAAATATACTTACATTTTAAGATTATTAGGACACACTAACATCACAAGTGAATGCACAAAACTGAACACTAGGGTCCAAAACCAGTACAAGTGAGAGAAATGGGACTGGGCCTTAATGTCTCTGTCACTGTGTAGTTTAACAATAATCATGATCAGCTGTTCCTTGTTTAGTCTCCAACCTACAGCCACCTCCCTTATTATCTTCACAACAACTGATAGATATCTATGTCCTCATTGAGGTTGAGATCCTTTCTCACCGCTTGTTTTTCATTGTGCTTGTATTTTGGTTGCAAGTTACTGTTTTTTTCCTTACCTCCTGGACAGGTATGATTCATCACACATGAAGGCATTGTTTAAATAATTGAATAGTGTTAAATTACCCTCTCAAGTAATACACTTTGGTTACAGAGCTGGGCTGACTATTTGTGGATGGAGATTGTTAAAGGTGTTAGATTTATTTTTTTTTATAACTGAAAATCTAACAAACTGATCAAACTCCACCCACACCAAAGAACCTCCCCTTAACTGCAGCACCCAAGCTGAACATTTTGATGAAACTAAATCACGTCTTGACGTCTTTATTATATTATGCAGGGAGTTTTACAGATTATATGGGCACTGCAATATAAGTAGAACAGGAATGGGAAAACAGAAAAAAAAAGGAGAAAAGATGAAAGAAAGAGGAGATAAAAGGGAGATAATGATAAAACATTTTCAGACTGCTACATCACCTGCAAAGAGATGTAAAAAGAACAGAACAACCAACGGATATAGTGTAAGAGATACAATAAAGTAACACCTAGACACTATTTAATAATTTGCTATTTTTAAGCCTCTTGTTTTAGGTCTGCATAACCACATTTTAATACTTGATGTTTACCCTGATCTATCTATCTAATCTATAATCTTTTTTTGTGAGAAGTGTTTCTTCTGCCTGAGTTTATCTTGCTATTGTTTTATGATTTGAACTATTTTCATTTTAGATTTTAAAATACCTGTATTTGCACATTTTGTTCTATTTTTGTCTTTGTGAAAGCATTTTATATACTACATCATTAGTTATCGGTATTTCAGTGATCTCTTTACCAAATACTTTTACTCAGATAAACATAAAGGTAATGTCAGTTTTTACCTTAGTACATTTTCTTGGGTACTTTACCCACCCCTGGAAATAAACTAACAGTTAAGAGATTCCTATTGTTCTTATGGACACATTTCTTTGCAAAATGATTACAAAGGTGGTTTTGATATACTTTCTTTCTGCCATGTGACATTTTCTGTTCAGATTCCTGGAGCAGCGATGGACAGGGTCAGCCTCCTGTGGCGTCTGAGGCGTCGAGCTCGCCGTGGAGCCGTTTGCATGACCTTATTCTGCATTTCCATGGCTTTACTTTATGCACTGTGTGCTGAAAACAGCGTGCCCGTCACAGACGCCATCTTTGGTGTGAGGGCACGTACCAGGGCCCAGCCTCGTACACACTCTGTCATCAAGGTTTGTTGCTCCTCCTTTATACTCCCTTATGTTAACGTTGCAGTTTTTAACTTAAAAGTACAAAACTACTTCTAATTACATACTTTTTGTTGATACACAAGTGGGTTGAAGCAGGTTTAAATTGATTTATCTCATATTAAGAAAGTTAAAAAATTATCCATTGGACTTTTTTTTCAAGTTTGAAAAGGTTTCGATTCCCATCCAGGAAGCTTTTTCAATTAAAAATATCAGAAATAGCTACTCTATAAAGCCTCGAACTTAACTTTTTCTGACATTTTTAATTAAAAAATGCTTCCTGGATGGGAAGCGAAACCTCTTCAAACCTGGAAAAAAAGTCCAGTGGATTATTTTTTTACTTTTTTGGAATGACTATGACCTGGATGACTGAGAATCTTCCCCAGCAAACCCATATTAAGGTTTGTAAACAGGTCTGTCAGAATCCCTTTGAAAAAGAAAAACATTTCTTTTAGTTACCTGTGCCACATTGAAAAGATGAATCAGGCATTTTGTATGTTTCTTAGAATTTTAAAATGATCTACAATAAAAATTAAACCTGCCACCTTAACCAAAGATGCCAAGAAAAAAAATCAAGCTTGTCCCTCATAAAATTGGAAATCATTTAATTTTTTAAGATTTATGACCACTGAAATAATGTTAACAGAAAGAAATCTAAGAATGACCAAGGTCATTTGATATACATTTTAAAGATGCCGTTATGATCCTGCTTTGTGTTCAGTCAGGTAACCTTGGATTAAATTAAAATGGAGGATGAGTAAAGGGTTCATAATTCGTGACGGGTGCGTGTTCAGCATAAAGAGCAAGCTGACAACACCCCACTACTCGAGGAAGTAGAAAACACAGCCGTTTAGAACTTTATCAAAGCCTCCTCATACAGTTCGAGAGCGACACTAATTGCTTTCCTGGAGTTTTTCCACAATATGTTGATAGTGGTGATAATTATGAACTAAATCACAGGATGTCTGTAGATGTTGAGATTTTCAAAACTTCAGCAGTATGAGCCGCTGCTCACTCGCCATATTTTCTACACGGTTACAAATTTTCTTAGGTTCTCCATGCGGACAGAATTTTTACTCCATCTTTTACAAGATGGTATTTAGGTCAAGTTTCACATCACGTGACTTGTGTGATGCAAAAATGCTTCCATTGCAGTTTTGCAAAATGTAATAATTTCAACAAAATGGAAATCCTACCCCACTGACCCAGAGTGAGAGGCCGTTTAAAGGCTCAGCAAACCTTTGCTGGTGTTTTTGATTAATTAGCTGATTAGGGTGTGACGCTATGAATTTCTAATAATAATTAACACAAGGTTCTAATTTAACAAATCACTTTTTTCAAGTTTAAGCTATAATTATCAAAATTTTTAGAAACATGGGCTTAGATGTATATTCCGTGTGTTATGATTATAAAATGAGTTTCATTTTCTGAGATGATGTGCAAAAAATATTGCACTTTCCCACAGTCCTCTATTAAATTTTTTTTTAGATGAATTTATACCACCTGTGTAAAGTTAATATGTGAAATCTATCCTCATTGCTGGGACTTCCCTCAGGTGGTGAGAGGCGGAGCGAAAACCCCAAATGTGGTCCCTCAGAAGCATCCAAATGACCCTCACCGCCCGATCCCTGTGCTGTCAAACCACACCAATGAAGACTTGGAATCTCCTCCAAAACGAACAAGCGCAAAAGAATCCTCTGGCTTTTTCGCCCGCTTGTTGCCACGGCCTTTAACACGAGTGCTGGCGGGCCTATTCAGCGGACGGCGTAAAGGGGAGCTAAGCGGCAAGTCAGGGGATGCAGAGTTCTTCGGACCTAAAGGACTATTAGGAGAAGTGTGGAATGAGGAGATGTCCAGCAGCATGCTTGGAGGCAGGCTGCAGAAGGTGGTGCAAAACTATCAGGTGAGTTAACTGCTGCTTTAACCCTCACCAGATGAACTTGATTACATATGCTTGCTTATTACATATATTGTAATTTTTGTCAGGCAATGAATAAATATGGTGTCAAGGTGTCTGGTCCTGGTGGTACCTCCAAGCGGACAAAGCTGAGTGGCCATGAGCTGCTCTGTCAGCTAAAAGAGAAGGTACAACTTTCCACTTTGACTCCAGACTTTCAGCCTTTCTCTGCAATGGCCTGGGCTTCCCTGCTGCTGCCACCACAACAGCTGTCCTCCGACCTCGGCCCGTACAAGAGCTGCGCCGTGGTGTCGTCTGCAGGGTCACTTCGCAACTCTGGACTGGGCAAAGAGATTGGTGAGAAATTTCACTGTGGTTGCAAAATTAAAATGTGTAACCTTTTCTATCAAAGATGTCAAAACTATCAAAACTACATTTTGACATCTTCTGTTTGAGTTAGTCCTTTATGTATTACAGACAAACCTAATCTTCAAAGAAAACAAGAAGTGATAAATTGTGTGAGCAAAAAAAAAAAAACCAAAACATTTAGTGCAATAAGTGGGAATGTTGCAGGGGATCTACAAAATTGCATGTGTAAAATTTAAGATATGCAAAGGTGTTTGGTTCTTCTCCAGGACTGGGATAGATCTTAAACTCTAGTCATAAAATCTAGTAAAAGATGGAAGCAATGAGAAATTTATGGTAGATTAGGTCTAAACGGCTTGATTTACCTCGCTCAGCTTCTTTTTAGGTAGGTTTAACCAAAAATATTGCAAAAAGAGGTAGACCTATTATGGAACCTGTAAAAAATATTGAGGGGGTAAACATTCTTTTGCTACAAGTCAAGAGATACGTCTCAACATATTTATGTGAGATAAGAATGTCTCTGTATCATCTGTCATAAAAATGACTAATTTGTAGCCTTCTTGCAAGAGTGTTTGAGCAACTTTCAAATGTGAACTGAGGTTGCTGTAATTGTTGCTTTGAGTTTGTATCTTTTTGTATTTTTTTTCCTTGCTGGCCACATTTACCTGCAGGTGGTTGGGTTAAATGAAGTCTCTAAATTGCCCTTAGATGGGGAGTGTGTGCGCATGGTTGTCTGTTGTTTGTGTCTTTGTTGCCCTGTGATATACTGGAGGCCTGTCCAGGGTGTACTCTATCCTAGAGATCGGCTAGAGATGGGGACCAGCCCCACTGTGACCTTGATGAATAAGCGAAAGATGTATGGTTCCATCACACTAACATTTTTTTAAATGCTGAAGCAGTTTATCCTTCTTTCGACTCTTGAAAGGCCACAAAACTTCAGCCAAATATCTGTGGATTATTCTTAAAAGCTCCATCTGTACAAGGAACAGTAGACCAAGTAGAGGTCAAGTTAGAATTATGCTAGAAACTTGATGGCAATAGTGCAACTTGCTAAATGTCATTTGAGGTTCATAGGTATGTTGGAGCCTGTAATAAAATGTTTGACCTTGTGGGCATTAGATCGTATCCTCAATAATTTTGAAAGATCTTGGCAGTTGTTTTTATATCTATATCAAATAATTATTAAAGCCACATTTTTAATTACCCTTTTAATTACCCTTTTTAATATAAACAAAGAACATTTTGAACCTAGCTAAAAACTACCTGGTAGAAAGTAAGATATGATTTAAAAGAATTTTAAAGGATAAATGCCTTAAAAATGTAAGGATTTTAATATTTGTCAAAAGGTTTTTATATTTTTTAAAGAGCAATCAATCAGATCATCAATCATGAAATGCATCTGTGAAATGTGCAGCAGCTGGGTATTTTTAAGTGGTTTAGTTAGATAAATCTAACACACTAAAAAAGCTTAGTGAGGACTATGAGTTGATTTGTGTGTGGTTCTTTATTTGGACAGAAAATAAGTGTTACATCGTTAATTCCTTATCTTTCCTTCCTCTGAAAACTGTCTGTTTGATCAACCTACAGACTCTCATGATGCTGTGATACGCTTCAACGCTGCTCCCACCAGTGGCTTCGAGAAAGATGTCGGCTCCAAAACAACCATCCGTCTCATTAACTCACAGGTGAACTTATAAATGTAGAACAGTTTATAGGCACTGGGAGTTGGAGAAAATGTGATGGTTTGTTTCTTAGTTACATTCAGTTATAGGAAATCTGTGGTTGAACTTGTGGATTTTTACTTTAAAAACTAGTCATTCAGAACTTACATGAAATCTGGTCACAATATTCTTATGACATTTAGTCTAAGCTACTAATGAAGCACATATAACCCAACCTGGTAAACCTATCATAACCTGACAACAGAACATAAACAAGGAGGTAAACTTTACTTACATTGCCATGCTGTCCCGTCTTGGGCTGCACCCTTGTTGATGGTTTAGCTTTTGACTCTCAGATTAAATGCATAACAGGCAGAAATGTCATTGCTTGTGAATTTCATAGGTACCACCCACCAACATTTTCGTCTAGTCTTTGTCTTAACAACGAATGTTTGTGCACGTCCCATGTTTTAGTAATCCGGGAGCCTTTTTTTTTTTTGTGACGGTCTCCTTATCGTCATGAAAAGGTTTTGTCAATGAATTTTTTTCATCATCTTCATTGTTGATGAAAACGGCACCGGCTGAATGGTGATAATTATTAGTGTAGATCATGTTTTTTCTTTTCTTTTTTATACAAGGTCAATGTTTTCAGAATAGCAGACTCTAATTTTTAGAGTTGTTCCTGATATACACTTGTTTATGTATTCTTTCTTAGCTTCACTACCCTTGTTCTAGGTAGCTTTCAGCTTAAAGTATCCTTTACTACAGCTCCGCATTCACCATGATTTTACAAATGATCAACACATTTAAGGAAATATAGTAAGATTTGGTATTTTTCCTATTTCTAAATTCACTCAATGGCAGTCGCTATGGTGACGTGGTTTAAGTCTACGACTGTACAGTCGGGGACTGGGCTTTGAATCCCAGTTGCATCAGGAAGGGCACACAGCGTGAACATTTTGGCAAGTCTTTTGTGGCAACCGCTGAATATGTGTCATTCATTGAATCTGCTGCTGCAAGATGGACTAAGAGCAAAGAATTGGCTCATAATGCCGCTAAAAGTGACTTTTTATTTAGATGGGTGAAATAAATGAGCAGAGAATCAAAGGGGAAAAATAACCGAATAACAGAATTGATTAAAAATGTATCCAAAAGTCAAAGATATGAGATGGTAATTTTAAGTTTTACTGCTGCATTACTTTTAACAGATTTGAATTTAATTAAAAATGTCCTCCACTCTTCATTGATAAATAATTCTCACCAGGCTCCAGTTCCCCTATCCTCTTTCACAACTGATTAATCCCTTTTTCTCAGGTAAATTCCCCAGAAGCACTTTCCTTGGACAATCATTCCACCATCTTCAGAGCTAAATTTAGCTAAAGCATCTTTTGACGAGTATTTTACCTGAGTAGAAAAAAAAATCATATTACTAATTAGATTTAAATAAGTCATCAGAGTTGTCATATCTGTTAGCAGAATGATTGACGAGCCACCAGCGAAGTGATGAGCTGATCTGCATAGAGAATTAATTTATTAGCTGGAATGGTGTAGAGAGAGAAGGTAATAATAATTATACAACAATAATAATCTACCCTACTTATTAGGAGGGAAAGATGACTATTCATAAATCACTTTAGTGTTGTCTGCTCCACTGCAATACTGAGGGGACAGACTCAGGGGTAGATGCTTGGAACATGCTTCTGTTTTGATGTCAGTTTGTTCCGGCCTTTCTCAAATCTCATTTATGGGGGCTGGGAATATCAGAGGTTCTTTTCATTACAATAGTGACTGCTAGTAATGTGAAGTGAATACATAAACTTGCAGAGGGGAGGGGGGGTTACAAGAAAACCTAAAATTTATGAGACTAGCTGTGTTAATAAAGTGCATTATTAAACCAAATACAGTTCGATCAATAATAAATTCTACATTTAAAAAATGTTTACTATTCCATCTTTTTCCTCTGCTTTTTAAATGTATAATTTTTAAATATGCAAGCAGCCACATATAAAAAAAAAAAACTCACTCTGATTACATTTTGTTAAGAAAGTCACTGTTTTAGACAAAAAACTGGATACTTGTACTTGAAAAAGATGTGAAAAAATGTGCTGGAACCCTTGCTCAGCCGCAGGGATTAGGACTTGAGGATATCGGTGTCCAGAAGACCCGTTCCCTCTGGGGAAGGCAGCTGCTGGACGGCAGCAGGTGGGTGAGTGCATCCATAAGCACTGAAGTAAAGATATTTGGAAAAGGGGTTTTGTAACAAGGCCAATATTGTCCACTAGTGTGAAATTAAACAAAGTGTACGCGAATGAACACTGACAATAGAATAGTCCAAAGTTATTCTCCTTGACACATCCTCTTTCTGATTTACTAGAACATCTGGACAGAAATATGATAGTACACTGGGATATCAGGATGCACCATTCAGTTATCCAGGATTTAGAGTCTTTGTTTGGGTATTAAGTTGATTAAAACTAAGAATTCCCACAATTTACAGACAATAAATCACCTGTTTGAATGTACATTCATACACTTGTGTTTTTATTAAAACTCTTACAAATACATAGATATACTGTGATGCCTAAATGATGCGGCTGTAATTTCAACATATTTCCTAAAGGATTAATTTTAAACTACTAAATAAATCTAATAACTTTCTCAAAATGTTTGTCTTCTGTGTTAGAAAAAAATGCAAGAGAGTGGGCTTCTTTGCAATTCTATTGAAAAACCACGCTATTAAGAGAGAGTTAAAAAATTTTCTTTACAGCTGAGGAAACGCCGCCTTCTTATGATCTTACACTACTTTGGGGGGTGGATTTAGATTGAAGTTAGATTCATAAAGTGGTTTTAAGATCACACAATTTACATTTTGTAGGCTTGCACATTTGAAAATATTTCTGTACACAAATTTGTTTATTAAAGTTTATTGTCATTCTGATGTTTAACCAGATGAAAACACATTTACCAACTCTAGAATGGGTTTTTGTGTCACAATATGGAGCGATGGTGTATAATCCAACCTTTTAGGGTCAGAGAAAAAGAGATTCATGCCAAACAGAAGTGTCGGCTTTGGCAATAGTGGCTCTTTAAAGAAATTTAGTTGGATTTGCAAACAAATGCAAAAACCTTTTTTTTAAGCTGTAAAACATTTTTAACTGTACATACACAAGGACTGAACAGAAAAGGTTTTAAAGATGGAAAAGAGGCTATTCAAATGTTTGCCCAAATCCCCCTTGCAAATAAAATCTCAACCTCAAATATGCTTTTCTTTTGGTTAAATGAAGGAAATGAGTGGCGGCTGTTACATAAACTACCTTTTAGACTTAAAGTATGCTTTAACTCATAAAAGCGGACTGGTTGCTATAGCAACCTTCATAGATGTACTCCATATCCCTGATCAAAAGTAAAAGCACAAAATGTGACATTAAAACAGCAGAAGTGATATGTAATTGGCTTATAAAACTGCAGGATTTCTTTGTTTAGATATGACATGGTACAGAGAAGGGAGCCATATAGCTGAGCATTGTCTTCATGTTGCGAGTGTTAAACTGCAAAGACGAGCTGCCCTAGTATTTTTAGATCCTGTCACATTTGCACAAAAATACCAAAGGCTCAAAGCTTTCTTCAATCAAAGTTGTGCGCTTTCATTTAGTCCATACAAAACATTCAGGTTTTGGCAAAAATGTAAATATAGTTTACAAAGGGAAGTGTTTGGCATCCTCTGTTTTTATATGCTAAAAGAATTGAAGTAAGCCTCTTTCTGATATTGTTTTCATATGCTAAAATAATTGAAGTAAGCCTCTTTCTGATATTATTTTTCTTCAAAGATTTGACAGGAGTGACAAGACATGTTTTAATCATTCTGACTGATGAAAGATTGTACATGAGCAAGGTTGTGAAAATTAGCCCCATGGAAAGAGCCTTAGGTTTTCCCAGACTGGGTTTTGTTGTAGATTTGATCGAATTTAATACGCTACATTTTTTTGTTTTATTAGGTATTTTAATTGTTTCATTATAAACACCAGGGAGGGCTTAGCCCTATAACCCATTCATACCAGCAGTTCCTGATTCATAGTAATTTTTATATTCTGATCCCATACGAGTTCACCATCTCCCCCTAGTGGTGTGGAAGACTTGCATTACATGGTGCTAGTTTCATGCACCCCTGAGCCAGAATAGGAATCTGAAAATCTGAATGGAAGGCATGTTCTTAATTGCAAATGTGAAAAGACTAAGGGCTCCGTTGAGGGGGTTAGGTGTGTCATTTTTAGTGTGAGATATAAACTGATAATTCTAGCTCAACTCTGTCTTGTAAATTGCTTGTTTGCATTTTTAGCCTTTAAGTATGTCAATAAAATGTTTGTCTTTTAGGTGATGGCGAATGAGGACTTGCGCTTCCTTTCCAGTTCTTTGTACAGCTCAGGTGTTCTGGTGGCCTGGGACCCCTCCCCCTTTTCCTCTGACCTCAGCCAGGTACCCTTTTTAGGTTTCTGGGTTTTTTTTAACCATTATTAAAAACTTTCCTGCAGTTGTAGGCCACATTATTATTATTATTATTATTATTTCCTGGCACATTTCTCCAAAAATGCTGTTAATCCCTCCTGCAGTGGTACAACCACACAGACTACCCCATATTCAGCCAGTACCAGCGATACAGAAGGCTTCACCCACAGCAGCCTTTCTACATCCTGCATCCTCGCTTTGAATGGCAGCTGTGGCAGAGGATTCAGGACAACATGGCTGAACCCATACAGAAAAACCCGCCCTCCTCTGGCTTGCTTGGTATGAGAACCACCAGCTGTCTCAAATTTCCTGTTTATATTTTGTCAACTCGGGTCCCAATGTGGTTTGACAAAAATAGGTTCCTCTTCACAAATAAAAGCATAGTGTGGGAAACAGATAATCTAATAAAAACTTAAACTAGGAGTGAACTTTGTGGGCTGGTCTTCAGGAAAAAGATTGAGATTTCTGAAATTGTGAAGTTTATTCCAGATACTGGCTTTGCTTCTGATCCGTACGAAGGTGAATCTGAAAGTGTTACTGTTTATGGGATACAATAATAAGTTGTTTTCTGTTTTTACCAAAATGTTCATAGCCTTTAAGCTATGGCAAATGACAAGCAAACTTAAGTGCATTTATTGATGCACTACAAAAGCCTGGGACAGTACGATCCAGAGTCCTTTAAACACTAGTTGCAGGCATTTACAAGACCGCTATCTAACAAAGATTTAAACCTTAACTTGTTTCTATCAGAATACCTAATTCCTTCTAAGTGACCCATAATGTAGAGCAGTGGTTTCCAACCTTTTTTTAACATGAGTATCCTTTTAGCTAGTTTACCATACCATGTGTACGCACCCTCTCAGTCAATCAATGAGGTGTTGATGATCCTCCAAAAGAAGAATTTACAAGAACTAATTGTTTGAAATGAAAATAATTTTATTTATTCCCCTTCTAGCAAATATTATTCCTGTATTTTAATATTCTCAACTTAAACAGTATTATAGGTCCCATATAAACGCATTTAAACTCAATATATCAGGAAATTAACACTGAACAGTAGTAATAATCAGATATATTATCTGTTTTACTTTGGTTTCATCATACAGTTGAGCTTGCTTGTGTTTGATGAGCTCTGATGGACTCGGTGTGGAAACAGCTGTTATCAAGCTTCTCTCCACATCCAGTCTGTTCCTCTGCTTGGTTTTGCGCCGTGTCAAAGCTAAGAAGGTTACCTCACCATGTTAAGTAGAACCAAAATGTAAAGATTCAAGCAGTGAGATATTCCTTCTCTACAATACACCAAAATTTAAAATGATAAATCCATCAGATACCTTTGTGGCACTCTACGGGAAGGTTGTTGCTATTTTCACTCACAATAAATAGTCTTTCCCACTTTACTGAAAATGCTGAGGGAAATTAGTGCAGAGCTTTTAGTGAATCTTTTAACTTTTCTCATTCGATTTGGGGATGTGTGACTCCTTCCCCTCCCTAATAGGTTGAGCTCATTAGGTGTGACAAACGCATCAGGGAGCAAAGCCAGGCATACCAGGCGTTCTCAAACACCTCAGCAAGAGGATGCCAATGTTACTACAAAAACAAGTGTTTTTCCACGTGACAGCCAGCGAACGCCAGTGTGAAGCAACAGCTGTTCACGCTTCGTGTAATTTTATGACGATTTCAAATGGTAGGCATGCACAATATTATCATACTATCAGTATTTTCAATATTAGCTTGAAAGCTAAATATTAGACATCATCTATTCCAGCGGTCCCCAACCACCGTACCGGTCCGCGGGTCATTTGATACCGGGCAACAAAGAAAAAAGTGTGTG